GAGGGTCAGAGAGAGAGGGAGTCACAGACTGAAACAGGCTCCAGGCTCTGAGCTGGCAGTCAGCACAGAGCCCGACGCGGGGCTCGAACCCACGAACCATGAGATCATGACCTAAGCGAAAGTCGGACGCTTAACCGACTAAGCCACCCAGGTGCCCCTATTTTATTTTTGAAAGAGGGAGAGAGACAGAGACAGAGCACAAGCAGGGGAGGAGCAGAGAGAGAGGGAGACACAGAATCTGAAGCAGGCTCCAGGCTCTGAGCTGTCAGCACAGAACCCGACGTGGGGCTTAAACTCATGGACTGCAAGACCATGACCTGAGCCGAAGTCAGATGCTTAGCTGACTGAACTACCCAGCACCCCCAACCCCCCCCCCCACCTTCTAAGGCCCAGGGCTCCCACCCTGGGAGTCTTTGGGGAATGTGGAGTATGGAAGGAAGAAGACAGAGAATTTAAGAATTCTTCAGCTTGACATTCCTTGAGCAGGAAATTGGGAGTCTGAATCCCTCTCTTCTTCCCTTTTCCTGACTTGGTGTCATTTTACTGCTCAGGGTCATCAGAATTTCAGTGGTCCCCTCTGTGCTTGGCCTCCTCACACCTTGACCTTCCCCTCTTGGCCCATTGCATGGCCCTTCCTCCTCCCACTCAGCCCCAGTCGCTGATGTTCTCCAGGCTCCATCATTCGCCTCTTCCCATCCAGCCCCACGCAGCCATCCCTCACTGACTCACCTCCTTTTTTCATTGAATCAGCTGCCACCTCACAGTGGTTCTCAACAGGGTACAAGAGGAGGGAGGAGAAGCCAAGGGGAATCACCTAGAATCATTGGTGAGAAGGGCTTTCCCACTGGTGACACCACCATTTACTCACTCATTCACCCTGGACATCCCAGAAAGAAACTTGAAGTCATACTTGCCATTCTGCCGATCTTCCAGCAACCTCTAAGCCCTGGAAATGTTCCCTCCTAATTATCATTCCAATTCTTCACCTCCTCTCCGTTTTTAGTCTGATTCCTCAATTCAGGTCCTGAGCAGGTAGGTCTGAGTGGCTGAATCCGGGTGATTCGCCTCTTTCTGGGAACTGCCCTTCTTGGGGTGCCCAAAAGTCAGGAGGGAAAGGAATTCCTTCCTCTCTGATGATTCCTGGGAAGCAATTATGGTTCTGGCCAGATGATCAAAGTCCTAAGAGTCCAGTGAGAGGACTGAAGACAAGTATATCTGGGAAGGGCTGTGTGCTTGGTCTGCTTTAGGGTGAGTTCTGAGACTAGATACATTCAAGTGTCATGAATGGATTTACCAGAAGTCCGCCCCTGCAGAAGAGACTCTTTTTTTTTTTTTAATATTTTTATTTATTTCTAGGAGAGAGAGAGAGAGACAGCGTGAGCAGGGGAGGGCCAGAGAGAGAGGGAGACACAGAATCAGAAAAAGGCTCCAGGCTCTGAGCTGGCAGTCAGCACAGAGCCCGACGCGGGGCTAGAACCCACGAACCGCGAGATCATGACCTAAGTGAAAGTCGGACGCTCAACCGACTAAGCCACCCAGGCGCCCCCAGAAGAGGCTCTTTATAACCCCATAGCCAGGGTGACCCCTGGGCCAACTGGGGCCCATGAAACAAAGCAGCCAGAAAGGCAGGAACAGAGCATATACGTGAGTGGAACACCAAGGCTTTCTTCCGTCAAGGCCGACACAGCTCTGCCAATAAGCCAGCAACAGTGACAACCTTGAGGCCCTCAAACCGGACCAGACCTCGAGGTAGGTCAATGGAGGGGACGGAGAGCCGCTGCAATGGGCACGTATTCAGGGATCGGATTTGTATTCCCTGCCTGTCATATCTCCGCCGATGCCACCAACCGTGGGCTCATGGGATGTCTTCTAGATGGCCGGGTGATCCTACACCATACTGTCTCCCACCTAGAAGCCCTTCCCTGAAAAACTAAGTAAGACACCAAGTGGAATGTGGGTCCTAGAACAGAACAACGACACTCGTGGGAAAGTTAGGAAAATCCAGTTAAGTCTGTTTAGCTCCAGTGTTATTCCGATGTTAATTTCTTAGTGTTATTACAAGTGGCGTGTGTGTAAGATGCTAACATCAGGGGAAGCTGGTGAGGGGGACACGGGAACACTTTGTACTATCTTTGCAAGTCTGTAAATTTAAGGCAAGGGGCAAGGGCTCTCCGGATTTGCTGATCTCACCATGTGTCCGTCATCTGGACGCTGCTGGCTTTATAGAGCGAAGCAGGGGTCTGGTGAAGCCCCAGCATGATGTCAGCTGGGGGACACTTTGCAAAGGGGGGGTGCTGTCACAACGCTGCTGCTCGTGCTTTGAAGTGAACCAGTAACAACGCGTGGTGCTTCTCCTTCATGGATATGAAACCCCAGGGTCTATGGGACAGAGGTGGGGACAGGTGGCTTAGATGACGCTCGAGCCCCGCTTTGAACTTGTGAAGGTTTGGGCCTGCGAGGAAGGAATGTGGCCACCAGCGCACCAGCTAATAATTCCTTTGAGGTGGCGGCTGACATTGCCCTTGCCCTTTGAGGCTCCTTCTGGCACCAGGAAGACAGACAGAAGAGGGGCTCAGAGCAGATGGCTTCTGGACCCCGTGGTTGTTCCCACAGCTCAGGGTGGACAGGAAGGGTATGGGAGGGGCCAAGATAACCCCCCGGGGCACCTGGGCACCGTGTCCTGAGAGAGGGTGAGCAAAAGAGACGGCCACTCGACGCAGAGCCCCGTCCAGGATTCAAACACCTCGGGAATAACGGTTAGAGTCACCTCTTGACCAAAGACTCCAATCAGCGAGATTCCATCTGGAGGTGGCAGAGCAAGGACGAAGGAAGCCACAGCCAGGGGGCTTGGAGCCATATCGCTGTAGCCCCCACCTGCTTCTCCCCTCTTACTGCCAGACCCTTATGGAGTGTTTACCCTTCCCCCATTTAAAAAAATAAGAATTCTTGGGGCGTCTGGGTGGCTCAGCCGGTTAAGCATCTGACTCTTCGATTCAGATCATGATCTCACGGCATGCAGGTTCAAGATTCGTGGGTTCAAGCCCCACGGGCTCTGCGCTGACAGCGTACACAGTCTGCTTGGGATTCTCTCCCCCCGCCCCCTGCCCCTCCCCTGCTCATGCTCCAGCTTTCTCTCTCTCTCTCAAAATAAACATTTTTTAAAAATTAAAAAATAAGAATTATCGTATTTACATCTTTGCTCTTTTGTCCACTCTTTTCCTTCTCCTAAGCTGAGTATATTGAGAGTAGCTGAATTTATTCAAGGCTGCAGAATGGTGAGGTGGGGTCAGGATGGGATTTTCTGGATGGAATTGGGGAAGCAGTGGACCCTTCCCAGGAGATCCTGCATTCTGACCAGCGGCCATGACCTCTCCAGCAGGCCCAGGGCGTGCCCTCGGTGCTAAGAAAGCGTGCATCTTTAGTGGGTCCTCTGTATTACACTGGGTTTGTTTCCCTGCGCGCGAAAGCATTCAGTCGTATCTGGTGGCCTCCCAGCCAGAAACTCGTCATCCTTGACAACGGCCTCTCCCATCACTCAGCGAGATGTCAGGATCTTAAAACTTCATTTCCCAAATAACTCCTCACCCCCATCTCCCGCCCTGGACCTAAGACGGCCACCTCCCCGGATCCGATGATCATCTCCTTAACTGTCCCTCCGCCTCCATTCTTTCCCTCTTTCAATCTTGTCAAATGCCAGTTTCCTTCTAATCACCAAAACTTGCCAACTCGCTCCCAGGCGATGTCCCAGGGGACACCGAGACCCCTCTCCTCACCGCCAAGCCCACGTCTCTAGCCATGAACCCCAAAGCTCTAGGGGTCTCTCTCGACATTCCCTCTCCAACCTGGGTGAGGGAATTATTTTCCCTTCTCATATCCATGCCTCTGTTAATACCGCACTTCAACCGTATTTGCCACGCATCTACCCACTTACAACTTAACTGTGGAGGATTCGGCTCTGGATATCACCTCCTTCTAGCAGCCTTTATCTGTGTACCACCCCCCCAAGGATGCAACCCACTCACTCAGCTGGATTAGGCTGTCTTCCTATGGGTGCCCTCACCCATCCCCTCCCCCACCCCCACACATGGCACTGAACACACTGTCTCATGTGAGTCCGTCCGTGGCTCCGTAAGACTGTAATCTCCTTGCTAACAAGGCCCAGGAATCAGCATCCTCCTTCGTGGCGTCTGGCCTCCCTTCTGCTAATCAAATCCTGTCCCTCGGCTGCTTAATGCCTCTGTGGGCTTTCTGCTGCAACAAGGCTAAAGAACAAAGTTCTTAACAGCTCAAGGAAGGTCCTTCGAGGCTTGACCCCTTCTCCCTCTCGGGCCTCTGTGTGCCCAGTTCCGCCCCGCTGCCCAGTGGCCCGCAACAGTTCACACTGACCTTGCCCACAGCCTTGAGTGTCTGTCTGCTGTGTGCCCCTTCCTACACCGCCCTTGACCGTCCCTTCTGCTTAGTAGCACTTACTGACTTCATGGCACGTCTTCTCCGCTAAACTCCATGAAAACAGGAGCTACCGTTTGTGTCGTCCTTCTTCTCTCCCTGGTGCCCAGCACATAAGGAACACTCGAGTATCAAATAAAGGGGCGCCTGGGTGGCTCAGTCGGTTAAGCGTCCGACTTCGGCTCAGGTCATGATCGCACAGTTTGTGGGTTCGAGCCCCATGCGGGGTTCTGTGCTGACAGCTCGGAGCCTGGAGCCTGCTTCGGATTCTGTGTCTCCCTCTCTCTCTCTCTCTGCCTCCCCTTGCTTGTACTCTCTCTCTCTCAAAAATAAACAAATAAAGGGGCGCCTGGGTGGCTCAGTCAGTTAAGGGTCCGACCAGCTCAGGTCATGATCTCAGTTTGTGGGTTCGAGCCCCGCGTCGGGCTCTGTGCTGACAGCTAGCTCAGAGCCTGGAGCCTGTTTTGGATTCTGTGTCTCCCTCTCTCTCTGACCCTCCCCTGCTCACGCTGTCTCTCTGTTTCAGAAATAAGTAAAACATAAAAAAACAAATAAACATTTAAAAAAAGAATATGAAATCGATCATGACACCATGACTTTACAGACTCTTTTTGTCCTCAGGCCCTCTGGGGTGATCTAAAGTGACTAACATGATGGGACATGAGATGGGGAAGAAGGCCCCCCCCCTCTCCCCGCCCCACTCAGGACCTCAACCCAAACTACTCTGACTAGGAATGCCGGTTTGGGGAAGAGAGTGGAGGGGAAAACAGGACATCTCTGTGGAGGAGTAAATGTCTCTAAGGATTTCCGTCTCGGGTCCCAGGGGGCCGCACAAGGTACCAGCCGCTGAACCAGGCAGGCTCTCCTGGGAGAGCAGTGACCCAGCAGGTGGGGGAGGGGAGAGTCAAAGGGGTTGGGGAACGGACCCCCAGTGAGCGGTCAGGTGTCCTCACTCATGCTGTGGCCCAGAGAGGGTGGAAACTGCCCGGTCCCCTGGGCTTCCGGGGACACTCGCTTCCTGGTGAAGGGTGGGGCTGAGAAGGGACGGCCATTCAGGGCGACGGGCTCCAGGCCCATCAGCTAATCACACAGCCGCCTTTCTCCTTGAAGGGGTTCTTGTCCTCAGGGACACCTTTGAGAAGAGGGTCATTTCCCGCTTCCGCCTCCACATAATCCTTGATTTCCTTTCCCGTCTTGGAAATCTGTGAGGAAACAAAGTGTGGTTCTCGCCCTTGTTTGTCCGTCGGGATCCATGATTTGCTTGGTCCAAGAAAATGGGTCCTGGGCAGGGTGGGGACAGAGGTTGGAGAGGAGAAAGACCAAAGGGACAGGAAGGGGGTGGGGGGGTGAGTTCTTACCTCCAAGGGGCGCCGGGCAGGGCCAGCCCAGAGCCGGGGGGACAGGCCGGCCCTCCAGGCTGCGGGGTTCGCTCCCAGGACCTCCATGGGGCCACCCCAGCCTCCCTCTGCAGCCTACCTCTCCTGCTCCATCTGCTGCCACCCCAATGTCTGTCACTTCTTCTTGGGGTCCCAGTTCTATAAGGACCAGGCAGTGGTGGAGAAGACAGAAGGGGCAGGGAAGGGCAGATGGGGCTCACCAGAACTCTTGGGTTCTTCACTTCCTTCTTCAGCTGCTCCACCTCCATCTTCAACAGCTCCTTCTCGTTGAGCTCCTGGGCCATCTTGTCCTCCCCTCCCCCGGGGGTACCTGGTCCCAGAAAGGATTTCGCAGCTGGGATCGCAATGCCCGTGCGCCCTGTTCCCCGCCCTGCCCCTCACTCCCGGCCCGGGGTATTCACACCCTAGATTCACTCCCACCCCCTCCCCATCGCACGTCCAGGCTCAAGAGGAGGCGATGTGCCCAGTCTGATGGCGGAGGCACAGTCTACACCCTAGGAGAACGATCTGTGTACAAAGGAAAACAGGATTCAGAGCATGGAGAAGGGAGAGAAAAGAAACGTCTTTCAGTGAGGAAGATTTGGGAAGCCAAGTTATTGTCCCAGGTAATGGCACAAGTAGAAGTTTCAGGAGACAGCAGGCCCTGTCTGGGGACAGTGTACTCCAGTGGTAAGAGAAAGTTCTCGAGACTTCCAGACTCCAGCTCTGAGCCCGGTTCTGCCACTTCGAAGCTGTGAGGCTTAGGGAAGTCACTCACCTTCCTTGAGTCTAAGTTTCCCCATCTGCAAAATGGGTATAATAGCAGTACCTACCTTGGATGATTTTTGAGCATCCTAGGAAAATAGTGCATATCAAATATTTTTAACCCTCTGTCTGGCACATAATGAATAATAAGCACATTTATCATGATGATGATAGTGGCTGGTATCGTCATCCTCACGGCAGGGTTATCGGGAAGGCCTGCCAGGTGCCTCACTTGAATAATTCTAAGACTAAATCCCGGCCCAGCGCAACCTCAGCCCCTCTCACCTGCCGAGAACGAACGTGCACTTCAAGTCACCCGTCCCCGACTCCAACAAGATGGTGTTTGAGCTTCCCTGCTCCTCATCAGCTGAAAGTCTTCAGATAAAGCAGATGGTCTGGAAGCCAAAATCTCTGATGCTAAGCTGATCATGGGCTCAAGGTTCTAAGCCCATCCTCTGGCCTGAGGCTCCAAGCCCCCACTGCCCCAGGAGCAGAGACCCTGCCCCGTGCTCAGTAGTGACCCTCCTGGCTTACAGCCAGTTCTCACCCTCAGGTCTGACACACTCCTCCCACCTCCCCTACCTCTGAGCCTGCTTTGATCCTGTTCTTCCCAGCGAAGCAAGCCCTAGGCCATCTCCTCACTTCTCTCACCCAAGAAGCCATTGTGTTTCCCCCTGGAGCCCCACGATTACACCTTACAAGGTTCTCCCTGCTCTTTCAGTCTCCCTTCGCTTATTCAAAACAACAGACGCCTCACTTAGGATGCTGTGGGGCCACGCACTTGGGGCCATGGCCACCTCTGACGCCTGTGCCCTGCTTCTTGGCCTCCATGTCTTCCTCTGAGCCCTGAGGCTGGGTCTCCCTCTCCAGTCGCTGACGACAGGGCCCACATCCTGCTATTTCTCTGAGTCTCCTTCCAGAACCACCTAAAGGCCATGCTGTTTAATAGATACTGAGCACCTGCTCAGGCTGACACCTGCCTCACGACAAGGGGACCCTCTCGAGAAGCAGACACCGAAGAAATCGATAGGGTCGGTAAGGGATCCTCCTTTCCTCCTCCCTCTGGGTTGACAGAAGGGGCTGGAAGAGGCTGGGAGGGGCTGGAGTCCATCCCGCTGACTCTCCCGCTCCAGACACCGAGTCCCACTCCCAGCTGTGGGTGCTAAGAATTCAAGGTCAGGACAGGACCCTACAGGCCTCCGGTCCAACTGCCCCGTTCTTGCGGGATGGAGAGCACGTACCTCTTGCGACAGCTCGGTGCTCTGTCCACCGATGCCTAAACACCACCAGCCAACCTGGGACTCAAACCTCGTGCTTCTCAAGGCCGGTTCCTTCCTGTCGTCTAAGTGGAGTCCATCCAGCTAACTCTCAGTCTTACCTCCATCAGGCAAAGCGCATGTGCCCCGGGCCGTCTTCACACGTAACCCTTCAGAGGCTTGGTAACACGTCTCAGGGGGCCTCTGGCCAAGTCTTCCTGGTGTCTGAGCCGATTCCTCTTGTCATCGCTTGGCTGTGTTCCATTGTTACTTCACCGCCGCCCCGCAGACCCCAGCATGACTGGTCTCCATACCCTATCCACCCTCCACTCCCCAGGCCCTTGGTGACTCATCCCTGTGCTTCCCAAGGAAGCCCCCACCCTCTGCCCTTTCCTCCCCTTCCATGAGTGGAAAATCCACTTCCACTCCCCACCCCACCCCCAGAGCAGGCCAGCCCCCTTCCTCCGCTGTCTCCTATCCATCTCCCCCTCCCACATCCGCCTCACAGTTTCCTCTCCAGGCCCAGAGAGCAATCACAGCGCCCCGACCTTGGCTTCCTCTGCCGGGAGGGATTGGGGGGCTGGGCCCCCCAGAGGGACCCCCCGGCTTCCCCCTTCCTCTGGGCAAGGGGGCAGAGAGTCACAGGCCCAGGGAGCAGGGACTCACTTCCTCTTGTCCCGGAATGAGCCTGCCCTCTGCAAGCAGGTTTGGGTCTCTCACGCTAGAGGAAACCAAAAGCGGTGGGGGTGGGGGTGGGGGGGAGGCAGGGCGACCAATCAAGGGCAGGGTGAGGCGCAAAACCAGCGGCTCCCAGGGGAGCCAGCCAGAGGCTGGGGGCCATGGCCGAGCTGCAGCAGCTGCAGGAACTTGAGATCCCCACGGCCCGGGAGGCCCTGAGGGGCAACCACAGCGCACTGCTGCGCGTCGCCGACTACTGTGTGGACAACTACGTGCAGGTAGGCAGAGCGGGCACAGGCCCCGCGGGCCCCGAGCCCACCGCCAAGGCAGGACCACGGGAGCCCTTCTGACAGGTGCTCGCCCGTCCTGGGCCCCGGCTGGGAAACCCTGCACCCCAGTACTCATTCCAGTACCCCCTGAAATTCGGCCCCGGCGCTCTCCTACCCAGCCCCACAGAGATGCCCGGGTCAGGCAGCGCCCCTGTTAGCAGGCGGGACCCTCCACTCGTCTCCTTCCTGGGTCCCGCTCACAACCAGAGACCCCAAGGCTCGTCCACCTGCAAACGCTGCCATCATCATTCCGTTTGCAGGCTGGCTCTAAGGGGAGACCTCAGATCTTCCCGTTGAACTTGAGAGGGGCCAGGGAGAGAGCCCTTTCCCTGATATTTGAGGGAGAGTAGAGCCGACCTCAGACCGGGCTGGGTTAGAGAGACGGGGTCTGACGCAGAAGCCGGGGGATGGACTGCATGACGGCTGAGAGCGGTCCACCAGCAAATGGCGACGACTGTGGCGTTTTCGAACAGTTCCCTAAATTGTGTAGTTGGTCCAAGACCAGGAGCGAGGGAAGGGGGCGAAGGGAACTTGGCAATGACTGAGCACCTCTGTTTTATCACGAATCCCCGTGAGCACCTTATGAGACAAGTATTACGAGTCCTCTTTCATAGATGAAGAACCAGGGAGGCAAAGTGACTTGTCCAGGGTCACGCAGCTTGGATGTGGCCGAGCTGAGCATCAGCCTCCTGACTCTGGAAGCCGGGCACTCTCGTCTGCCCCTTGCCCCTTCCCTGACATGCCCCCCCTGACTCAAAGCCAGTTCATTTGCACTGGAAGACCCGGGGACCTCCGGGCGCAGTCCGAGTGTTGGAAACAAATAATGAAAGTAACAAGTGCTTATGGGAAAATGTCAGAGTAGAGAGCCGACGATAAAAGCAGTTAAAGCGCTCTGCACACTTCCTTTGGGCTGGCGTGACGCCTGCATGGCCTCGTTCAGTCCTTACCCCGGGGCCCGAGAGGGGAGAGGCACTCTCACTCGACAGCCAGGAGGCTGAGGCTCTGAGAATTGAACTCGCTTTCCCAAGGTCTCTAAGCCGGGGGGGGGGGCAGGATCTGGATTCGAACCCAGAACTCTGACTCCAGCGCCCGCCCCCAAACCTCTAGTTGAATTTGCTGCCCTGAGGAATAATCGCTGTTTGTGTAGATGTTGAGTGACCTGCTTGTGGAGGATACGGACCGGACCGTGTGGCTCGGAAAGGAGCCGGGAGCTCGGGGTGCTAGAGGCCATTCTCCTCCGGGCGAGGGACCTGCTTCTTCAGCTCCTCCAGTGACCGGTGCGCCCCTCCGGGCGCTTTCAGATGGGTTCTCATTTGTCTTCACCGCGTGCACACGGGATTTGGGGGTCACAGAGACCCGAGTCCGATTTCCAACTCTGTCGCCTACCGACTATAGGACTCAGGGCAGGGGTACCTCCTGATTCTCACACCTTCTTCAGGATGGTCACACGGGTTGCGTGTGATCACGTGTTAAAGCAGGTAGCTCAGCACCTGGCCCTTAGTGGGGGCATGGGAGGGAATGAATGGGAACTATTAGCGTTGCCATCATCATCATCATCATCATCATCATCGTGATTCATTGGAAGGTCGAAAGGCACAGGTAGATCATGAAAGTCAATTCTAGCGAGGTGAAGCGACCCTTGTAAAAACACCGAGGGCATCGAGAGCCCTGACCCCGGTCAGAGTCCCCCAATCCCTGCTTCCTTCATGCCAAACACTAACTCACTGACCTCGGTTACCTTTCCTGGCCTCTCTGAGCACCTCGGTCTGGGGAGCCCATGGTTATGAAGGGTTTGGGCAACTTCTCAGAACTGCTCTTAAACAAAAGGTCTGGTTCCCATACCCTCCGTTCTCCCCCTCCCTCTCCGCCCCCTCCCTCTGCCCCAACCAGGTGTCAGGAAACCCATGGGGAACGGGGGAGGGGAGGCTGGGGTCAACTGCAGAGTTCTCTGTCAGAGTCCATGGAGTTTACAGACAAGGTCATTTGCATGGTGAAGAAGCAGTCGGCTGGCCACGGAGGTGGCTCTCACACCCCTGTACCTCCACACCTGACCCCGGGCCAAGCCCAAACCAGGGGCAGTACGTACCCAGGCTCCCCCTCCCAGGGCTGGGCCCAAGCAGACACTTTGCTGCCTGGGCTGACAGTTCCACACATCGCAAGGGTCCTAGCAGTAGAGCTGAGGAATCTCGGGTGGGGACCAAGGAGGAGGGAGTCACTGCCCCCTGCTGGGCCTTCGTTTCCTCACCTGTTAAAGCAAGGACTTGACCTAGAACAAGAGCTGCTAACCTTTCTGGGTTACGCATCCCGGGGTTGATTTCTTCGCCTTTTCAAGGCTCGTGGTCACAGACGCTGATGAGATGCAAACTCCACGCAAATGGGTATCGAGCTGCGGGAACAGAAAGGCAGGGGAGGGCAGACTACCAGGCTCTGGGCTTGCCCTCTGACCCCAGCCTGGCTCAAGCTCCGGTGGAGGCGCCTTGCTCTACGGGGTGCTAGCCCTCCTCTCTGCAGACAGGCCCCCGAGGCGCACCCCGGGGCTTTTAGCAAGGGGACCGCATGGTTCAACCTTGTCCGGCAGTGCAGGGGCCTGGCCCAGACTCGCCTTGGACTCACCCCTACCCCCGTAGAGAAGGGTACAGGCTAAATCACAGCAGCTCCGTGATCTGACCTGAGATGAGGAAGCTGCCTGGGGAAGCAAATAACCAGAGAAGTTTTGCTCCAGCGCCCGCGGTCGGATCTGGGACTGAAATAAATAAATAAATAAAAATAAACAGCCCCCACAAAAACCCCTCTTCTGTCTTCGGCCATTCCCTGCCCACCCTTCCACTGCTGACCGGCACCATGACTCCGGCCAGCAGCTGGCACATTGCCTGGCACGCATTAAGGAGATGCCCAGCGAGTGTTTGGGTTCACATTCAGGTCATTAATTAACTCACAAATGCCAATTTATTAAATCTCGTCTGGGTGTTGAGCACTGTTCCAGGGTAGGGTACAGACTAAAACAGGCAGGCTTTCTGCCTTCATGGGGCTTACCTTTTAGCATGTGGAGGGCGGAGGGGAGGAGGAGACAAATAATAAAGTAAATAGATCAATCGTTTCTGACAGCGCTAAGCGCTATGAGGAAAAGACAACAGAGGAAATATGGTAGAGTCAGTACGGAAGTGGGCTAGGAGAATCTTAGGGTGGTGACAAAATGTCTCTGAGGGGCTGAGACTTCACAATAAGGATTCTAGAAATAAGTACAGGAAGTGCAAAGGCCCTGAGGTAGAAACAGGCTTAGCTTGGTCAGGAACAGGAACCTAATGGCCAACATGCACAGAGGGGAGCAAGTGAGGGGGGTGGCAAGGGAGGAGAGGGCACAGACCAGCAGAGCCCTATAGAGGCCCTATATGTGGGGCCCTATACAGACCATGGTTAGAAGTCTGTACTTGGGAGCAATACGCTGAGGGAGTGAATGAATGAAGTCACTCTTCTCTAGGCCTCAGTTTCTTTATCTATAAAATGGACCGGGTCATTGGTTCCCGAACACCAATGGGTGGAGAAAAACATGGAGGCCAAGAGTCACCTGGGATGCTTTTAAAGGCACAGACTCATCGACCTCATTTCCAGCGGTTCTGCTGAGAAGGTCTGGGATGGGGGCGCCTGGGTGGCTCAGTCGGTTACACTCCCAACTTCGGTTCAGGTCACGATCTCACAGTCTGTGAGTTCGAGCCCCGTGTCGGGCTCTGTGCTGACTGCTCAGAGCCTGGAGCCTGCTTCGGATTCTGTGTCTCCCTCTCCCTCTGCCTCTGCCCCTTTCACACCCTGTCTCTCTCTCTTCCAAAAAGAAAGAAAGAAAGCTCTGGGATGGGGGCCTGACTTCAGCTCGTTGCTTCTTAAGTTTGAGACTATCTCTTCCAGCCAGCACTGCCTTCCTCTTTCCTTTCTGCATTTCCCCCTTTATCCCCAAAGGTCCTCCGAAGGTGGTGGGGTTAATCCTCAGCCAGACTCTTCCAGAAGGCATAGTGCCCTCCCCTTGCACCCATTCCGCGGGGTGAAAGGTTCCCTTTCCTAATGCCCCCCAGCCCCTCTTCCTACAACGTCATTCTTATGGAGACTGCAGGGAACATCAAGGTAACTGCTTTCTCTCAGTTCAGCCCCCACCCCCCACCCCCCATCCTACCCGCCCCGCCAAGGATCCCGAGGGAGGGGCTGGCTGGCCTCAGACCAGGGCTGTGTGTATTTCAGGCCACAGACAAGCGGAGGGCGCTGGAGGAGACCATGGCCTTTACCACCCAGGCTCTGGCCAGCGTGGCTTACCAGATAGGCAACCTGGCTGGAAACACCCTGCGGATGCTGGACCTCCAGGCGGCCTCCCTGCGCAAAGTGGAAGCCCGTGTGAACACGCTGGGCCAGGTAAGGGGTGTGGGGGAGGGCTCCTGCCCCGCCCCCACTTCTTTCTTGCCTTCCTCCAAAGGCCTGACTCCACCACAGGAGCCTCAGGGCAGGGCCATGCTGCCTCCATCAGACTGGGAACCCCTTGAAGGCAGAGCTGCCTCTCTCTCTGAATCCTTTCCCCGCAAGGGAGGAAGCAGGCTTTACAGACCACGGTAGCTGCAAGGCACAGGAAAGAGGCACATGGACCTTGTTTCTATCTAGACACACTGGTGACTGGCGAAGTTGTCCTAGACCCAAAGTGCTTGCTTGGCAAGGCCATTCTCAGCCCTGAAAAGCCTGCTGCCGCCATACAGACGCCCCCCCTCCCCCGTCTAGCACACACACCCTCCTCCTTCCTTCCCCGATCCTTGGCTGAGGAATTGCCCCATCAACCGCACGCGCAGACCCCCTGACACATCAGCCTGGCTTGTACATCACCCACGTGGTCACTGTGGGGTGTGTCTTTTCCTCTCACCCCAGCAGACCGGAGTTCCCACCCTCCTGATGCTGTGTTTCCCCACATAACATTCCAAGAGGAAGTTAATTCACTGATCTGTCTCCTGAGAGACAGTCAATGCGGCCGATGCAGCCGAGATTCTCTGCTGCCTCCACGTTTTCCGCCCCTGCTCCCGGGCCCACCCAGGGCTCCGGTCTCTTCCCAGCGTCCGCAGGGGTGCCGTGTTTTCTCTTTTCCTCTGGGTGCTGCTCAGGCTAATAATAACCCTCCTTCACTTCCAGTAGGAAGTTTCTCCAAAGTGGCTCCATCCTCCCCTGGCCACTCTTCTCCCAAACGCTGTGTGGCCTTGGGGAGAAAATGTACCCTTTCTCTGGACCTCTCGGCCTCCCACGGTCCCTTCCTCCCGCGCCAAAGTCTCTATCTTCTTCTTCCCTTCAGAGGAAGGGCACTGTGCAGAGGCTACCCGCCCCCCTCACCTCAACCCCTGTCGTGACAGATGGTGAGTATGCATATGGAGAAGGTGGCCCGAAGGGAGATCGGCACCTTAGCCACCGTCCATCGGCTGCCCCCGGGCCAGAAAGTCATCGCCCCGGACAGCCTCCCCCACCTCGCGCCCTACTATAGGAGGCCGCTCAACTTCGGCTGCCTCGATGACATTGGCCATGGGATCAAGGTAGAGAGAGGGCCCCTCCTCTTTCCCACAACCCCCCTCTCCTCCTTCATGTCTCCTTTCTCCCCAGGCCCCCAGTTCGCTGCCACACCCGTGTTCTCGTCCCAATCCCCCAGCCCCTTTTTCCCCTCGCTCTCTGACGCCATCGCCCTAAACGGAGCCCTACCCTCCAAGCCCCCCCCTCCTTCCCGGCCCCTCCCTCCACGGCTGGCTTTTACCCTGTCCTCGGATGATCTGCTGAGGATGGCATCTGGCCACCCCCTTCCGTGGGGGCTGGCTGGGTGTGAAGGGGAAGAGGGGGAAGGGAGGAGGTCAGGGTGTGCATGAGAATGGGTCCCCAGCAACTTCCTCTGTCTGGAGGTTTGAGGTCACTGTCACGGAGCCCTCACCCTGGTGCTGCTGTTGGGTGGCAAGGGGCGGGGATGCGGCCACTCAGAGGGGACCCGGTGAGGGCGCTGACATTTCCTTCTTGCCTCATCTCCTGAGAGGCGGGAGAAGACACACTCCAGGCTAGATTAAAGCTCCCCCTGCTCCAAATGGCCTCTTGATACCCTTAACGTACTGTCTCCCACACAAGGGGTAAGTCTACGCTCCCTCCCAGTCACCAGGCCTCCCCATCAGTAAGCTCTTCTCGATGTCCAGCTGCGATTCATTCTCTATGCCTCAGCTCAGGTCCCTTTTGCCTCGTGCTTAGTGAGGAGAGCCGAGGCCAGCGATCCCCAAGGCCGCATACTTGGGGGCACCCCACCAGTAACATGTGGGGCTGCCCATGCCCTTTGCACATTTTATATGCCCTGCCCCCTCTGTCCTGAGCTTCCCCAAGCCAGTTCTGCAGGCCCATCGAGATGACAGGTGGGACACTGCTAAGTGTGAGGGTCCTCTCTGCTCCCACCCCACCTCCTGAGCCCCCCACCTCCGACTCCACGCTCGCCGGGTTAGGATCTATTAGAGTTAGAGACCAGAATTAGCTAGGTAACTGGCGGCTGAGATGCTCTGAGCGAGGTGCGGATGCTAGGCTGTGCGGAGGAAGTGGCCTTCAGACCGTGTCTGCTCCAGGTTTCCGTCGCGCCTGCGGCAGACTAGAGGCCTGGGGCCCAGGCAGCGGCGAGAGGCGGCGGGGGAGGGGCGGGGTGGGAGAGGGGGCTGGGTGGTGGAAGTGGGAACTTGCTGTGCCCGAGCTCTCCCTCCCAGTTCTCTCCCAGTTCTCGGTCGCCTCTCCTTCATTTCCCTTCTGGGACCAGGGAGGGTGCTGGGGAAGGGCTCCCATAGACGTCAGCCGCGTCCCCTGCTCTCCCCCCGCCCCCGCCCGCAGGATCTGAGCACGCAGCTGTCGCGGACGGGGACCCTCTCTCGAAAGAGCATCAAGGCGCCTGCCACACCCGCCTCCGCCACCCTGGGGTGAGGCCTCGCGATCCTGAAACTCTCCTCCTCCTCCCCTCGCCCGAGGAGCCAGACTTCCTCCTCCACCAGCTGCCCCCTCCTTCCCGCAACTGACCCCTGCTCGCCGGAAGCCTTCCTCTCCCCCCCTCTCCTGACGACCCCTCCCCCCCAGGAGGCCACCGCGGATCCCCGAGCCGGTGCAGCTCCCGGTGGTGCCCGACGGCAAGCTCTCTGCCGCCTCGTCTGCCTCTTCTCTGGCCTCTGCAGGGTGAGCCCCACAAGTCCGAGTGGGGGTGTGAGGGGGCCTCTCGCCAGTGGTCATGGTGACTCCTAGGGTCCGGAGGCCTCTCAGCACAGGCCTGGGGCTAACGACTGCGAGGGGCGGGGCCAGCTCGGGGGTGATGTTAGGGAGGCTGTCCCCCCACCCAGCCGAGCCCCGCTTTCTCTGGTCTTCAGCAGCGCCGAAGGTGTCGCCGGGGTGTCCACGACCAAAGGGCCGGCAGCACCCCCGCCCCCACCTCTCCCCGGCCCCTCGGCTCCACCCCCTCCGCCGGCCAGCGACGTCTTCCTGCCGCCCCCTCCGCCGGAGGGCGTGTCGCTGCCCCTGCCGGGTAAGGAGCCCCGCCCCCTCCTGGCTCCACTGTGGGGGTCCCTTCTCGCCTCCTCACACCCCACCCCACCCCTATCCATCTGCAAGGAATTGGCTGGCCTCTGTGAACGCTTCGTCCAAGGTAGGGGGTAACGGGAGAGAAAGGGCCCGGAGAAAGTGGAGCTAACCGAACTCGGCGCCTGCTTCCTACCAGGCTCTGTGTTCAAGCTTCTCGTCCATTTTCTCACTTAACCTTAAACAACCCTAAGAGGGTCTTCACACTCTGACCTAACAGATGAAGTCTTCAGGGACTTGCCCAAGGGCCACCCAGCTCAGGGGCAGAGCCTGACTACCCTCCACGGCTCAATAGTTTTGTGTTTTACGGAGAACCGCCTGCATCCCAGAGACCTGGTGGGAGGACCGTGATGGGGGGGTGGGGGGAGGGGCTGGAGAAAGATGACCGGAAATGGGTAGATCCTGGAGCCCCGCTTCTGAACATCGAGTTTCCCGGGGGGAGTGGAGGCGGTTCCCTTCAAACCTTTGCTGCCTTTCTGCTTTCTCCTCCCTCCCAGCCCCAGAGCTGCCCCTGGACCTGCCCCCTCCCCCACCCCTGGATGTAGATGAGCTGGGGCCGCCCGATCTGCCCCCACCAGGCTTCGGGCCCGAAGAGCCTAGCTGGGTCCCTGCTGCATACCTGGAGAAAGGTACCTGACTCCCGGGACGAGGGATCATCCCCCCACCCCCACCCCTAATAGCCTAGAATCAGCAAGGGCGCGAGCCTGCTACACACACACACACACACACACACACACACACACACACACCCTATTTTCTGATGAGCTGACCAAACGTTCACCCAGGAGTGGTGAACCGAGCTGGACAGACCGGCAGCTGGCCCGGCACTGAATTATGGATCTAGCGGGGGAGGGGGCCCAAGAGTTTTGGAGAAGCCCCCGCCCATCCCCCTCCCTGCAGCCGGCTCCCCCAGACGTTCCCTGGAATCCCGTACAGGGGCCCCTGCACCCCTCCGTGGTAAGGCAGAGGCACGTCTCACGGCACCCTCTCCTCCCCGCCCTGCAGTGGTGACCTTGTACCCGTACACCCGCCAGAAGGACAACGAGCTCTCCTTCTCTAAGGGCACCGTCATCTGCATCACGCGCCGCTACTCCGATGGCTGGTGTGAGGGCGTCAGCTCGGAGGGGACTGGATTCTTCCCGGGGAACTACGTGGAGCCCAGCGGCTGACAGCCCGGGGCTTTCTGAGCTCCTGCCCCAGGCACTGCGCTGCGCTCCCCGGGGCTCCAGTGCAAAGCCGGCTCCAGGGTCCGGGCTGGACGGGGCCTGCCCACCGGTGGGAGCTGCGCCAGTGCCTTCCCTCATTCCGCGGGGAAGGGGACCTGGGGAGAGAACGGATGTATCCGAAGGCCTGCCGCAGACAGGAAGGAGCTGGAAGCCAAGGAGTCTGGTGATCTTGTCCACGGAAGACCCACCGCTCCAAGCGGTTTTGAATAAAACTCTGATGACCTCCTGGTGATCAACCTGCAAGGCTGGGGAGCCAGAGAGGCGGGAGTTTAAGACTCCGGCTAATTATTGAGCCCCCGCAGCTGCCGCTGGCAGCAGTCTCTCCCCATCTCTTCGGCCCTCGTCAAGTGGCCTCTACACTAGACCCCTGATGCCCCTCTGCATCGACTGACTGAATCTCGTTCTTTGGACTGTTGCTCGCTGTGCTTGTGTTCATTTGGGGCTCCTCAAGCCGGGCACTCTTCCCAGAGTGGGGACCAATCCCCCCACTGACGTGGGGCTCTCGGAGAGCAGGGGTCGCCTCCCCCTCCCCCTCCAGACATCGGCGCGAGAAATCTCAGTCAGCTCTTCCCCCTTCACCTCTTTATAGCTGCAGAACACCAAAGAGGGAGGAAGGGCTTGGCTTTCGCTGGCTCTGCTTTAAAACATCATGGCTTTCTGTTCCATACGGGAGGGGGGGGACGCAGAGGGCTCAGCCCGCGGGGCGACTTTGGTCAAGTCCCTGGTCTTTTGCTGCATAGACGAGGCTGGGATGAGAGGAGGCACCGCCGCGCGCGGCGAGGTCCCTGGCTGGAAGGACCCGAGCCGGACGGTGTGCTACCTCGTTCCACCACCAGGAGGCGCCGTGTTCCCTCTGGCTTTTTTTTTTTCTTTTTTCTTTTTTTTCTTTTTCTCCTTTGGGGATGCTGGCAGGGTGGGCGCGGGAAGGGAGGCAACAAGGAAAAAGGGCGCAGGGTGGGGACGCAGTAGGTGAAGCAAGATGTAGGCCTGAGACCGCCGGCAGAGAGCTTCCTCTCCCTCCGCTGGGACTCCGGCGCGGCCGGGAGGATTTCGGGACTGGAGTCCCCTTGACGGAAGAGACTGAGGGGAGGGAAGTTTCGCGGCCCAAGGCAGCAGGTAAAGCAGCGGGAGATGTTCCTCTCTCCCCTGCCAGGGACCCCCGTGCTCCCAGTTCGGAGGACAAGGGATTTTTGGAAACCCTGCCGCCTGCCAGGTGTGCGCACCACCCCGGTGGGCGCCCAACTCCAGAATTTAACGTTGCGGTGGAACCAGGGGCCGGCAGCCGAGCTGGGTTAACTGCATAGATAGGGACGGCTCCGATGTCTCCCCCCCAAGCCCCTAGATGGACGAGGCCGGAATTCCCGGAATTCCCGGAGGGACACACCAAAGCGAAAGGGGAAAGGGCGTAATAAAACTAGGTTTGTCTTTCCCGATCTCCCCGCCCCCACCCCGCCCCCTTCTCCGCCCGGGCGCCCCCTGCGGGCCGCGGTCCTCAGCACGCCTTCAGCACCTGCTGCAGATGGAGGCGCACGTCGGTGGCGGTCTCCCAGGGCACCACGCTGGCGCGGAAGGAGCTGGGCTCGGCCTTCTGCGCCTCTTGGATAAGGCGGTGCATGGGATAGCCGCGGCGCGGGAAGGCCACGTCGCCGCCCGCCAGCAGCCCCATGGGGCAGAAGTCGTTGGCGCCGTCGCCCACGTAGAACAGGCGCTCGAAGTGCACGCCGTCGTGGGCCCGCTCGCGCAGGTAGTCGCTGAGCACCTTGTGCTTGCACATGTTGGCGGGGCAGCGCGCGCAGCTGTGCGTGTGGAAGGGTCTCAGCGCCAGCAGCCCCCGCGCGTCGGGCCCCGACGGGTTGCTGAGGATGCGGCGGAACAGGCCGTGGTGGCCGGCGGCGCGCAGCGCGCTCTCCACGCCGAAGGTGTTGGCATCGGAGATGAGAATAACCTCGAAGCAGGAGCCCTGCTTGGCCACAAACTGCAGCAGGTCGCCCATGCCCGGCGACAGGGGGATGGCCTCGTAGACGGCGCGCAGGTCCCGCGGCCGCACGCCCTGCTCGCCCAGGTACTGGAAGACGCGCTGCATGTACTCGTTGTAGAAGCCCTCGCGGTAGGTGGCCCGCAGGCTCTCGGGCAGCCGCTGGCCCGGCGCGGCGCGCACGATCGAGTCGTCGCTGTTTTCGTCCACGATCGTCTCGTCAAAGTCGAAGGTCAGGAGGAAGCGCGGCGCGCCCTGCGTCGCCATCCCGCCGCGATCCTGGGAGCAGGGGGGAGAGGAGCAGGAGGAGGGGGCAAGCGAGAGGGGGCGCGGCGCGAGCCGGCCGGGGAGAGGCTGGTTAGCGGGCCACGGCCAGAGGCGCTGGCATATCCAAGACCTGAGGAGGACCCAAGGCTGGTTAAGCTGGGCAGAGTCCCCGCCGCCGCCCCCTCCCCAGCCTTCCCCTCTACCCCGTCTCCCCGCAGCGCTCAGGGGACTCTGCTGGGGTTTAGCCTCGGAAGACCCTCCTCCTCCGGAACCCAGAAAGGCTTTCTTGGCACCTGTTTCTGCTACTCTCCTCTGGGACTATCGGGACCTAACGGGGTCAGCTTAAAAGAGGGGAGCAGCAGCTTCCGAAGGGTCACCCCTTTGGGGAGGTTTTGGAGGAGGCTGTTCTGGAGGCTTCCAGGGGCCCCTTCGTTGGTGTGGAGTCCTCTCCACACCCTTCTTCCCCAACAGACAGAGGCGAAGGAAACCGGGCACTCATCCAACTGAAGCAGCCTCCTCGGTCCCTTTTGGGGCCATGCCCCCCTTAATGGGACTGTGGACAGTAAGGAGCCAGGCTCCAGAGAACTCTCGTTGGTGTCATCCAAGGGATGTGGGCTGTGAATGCCAAGTCCTCGGCCTGGAGAGGCGCTAAGGGCTAGGCCTGGAGCATTAAGCGCCCGGGCCTCGGCAGCACTGGCCAGAGAACAGGATTTTATCTCTTGGAATAAGCAGCCCAGTGAGTTGACCCAGGATGGCTCTCTGGGCGCACTGCAGCCTCCAGCGGGGCTCCGAGGATGGGGCACTGCTTCTCCAGGGAGTTGTGGGGCCCTGTGCTGACAGCTCATCGTCACTAATCACTTGCCAATTCCCTGGGAGGAACGCGTCAGCGGGTGGGGTTTCAGCTAGAGTCCGAAGGAAGCGGGCAGCAGAAGCAGTGGGGCCGGGGGAGGTAGAAGCTTCCCGAACCAGGCTGCGACATACCTGGGAGACAGGTAAGGGAGAGGAGAGAGAGCAGCGGAGGTGGCTGGAAAGGCAGAGGGGGAGGGAGCAGGGGCAGGCGCATGGCGGGGAGGGAGAACTAGGAGGAAGCCATGCCAGGGGAACCTAGAGGCAGGAGGGACAGGGAGGGAGGGACAGAGTGGGGATGGCGGGAGTGGGGGGAGGGCCCCAGGAAGTGGAGACTCAGGCCAGAGTCCCCCACCTCCAGAGGACATGTAAGAGGTTAGGGGACAACAGGGCCCGTGTGAGGCACAAAGAAAGGCAAGCAGACGGAGAGTGCGGAAGCGCTCAGCGCCCTGGCCCTGTCCCCTTGCCTGGCTGCTGCTGTACATGATCGAGTTGCAGAGAGCAAATCGTGGACAGCTTCAGAATATCCACTGCCTTCCTCCCGCCTGGCCTCCCACACCAGCAAGTCCAGACGGAGCCACACTCCTCCTTCTGGTTCCTTTCCTGTGACGTTCACGGCCCCCCCGCACACCTTGTGAAACGGAAGTCCACGCTCTTCATTCCAGAGCTGGGGTGTGAACCTAGCTCTCTGCCTCCCTAATAGAACTGTCCCTTTGAGCTCATCCCTAGAGTCACCCCTTGGTCTCACGGACGTCCATCTGGGAGTCTCAGGGGCCCACGAGGCCTGGAGTTGAGGATGTAAAGCATCAGGACACCACGCGTGGGGTGGAAGCTTCCAGGGATTAGTGGAGGCCCACTAGAGATGAGGGTGGGCCTAAAAGGGGCTGGATAGGGCTCCTTCCACCTCACGGTGGGAAGGGGGCTGAGGCCTCACCCTAAGAAACCCCCAGAAGGGCCCACTTACCCTAGACAGGCATCGGAGGCCAGCAACTGGAAAACACCCACTCATCGTCTGCACATCACCTTGGGCACCACCTTAGGGACTGTGTTGGGCCTCGTCCAGAGCTCCTGACAACCATACGAGGCCTGTTGGAGAGTGCCCGCCGCCAGCTTTGTTTCCACCACGATTGCCCGCCTGGCTCTGACTCCTCTGCGGAGGAGGCACCTCTCCCAGGGGCTCAGTAAAAACCCCTCAAGTAGGCACAGTTCTCAGATGGCAAGGCCCTTGTAACAATCCCGGTGACAGTGGAGAGGTTAAAGGTGATATTGCTGGAGACCCAGAGGGGTTAAGGGACTTACTCAAAAATCACTCACTGTAAGTGGCAAAGACAGATGTCGAAATGGGAACTTGGGAGTCAGAGGCTAACTTGCCCCGGGCTGTCCTCTTTCCTTAGGGAGCCTGGTCCGTGAACACCTGACCACAGCCTTGCATGCTCTCTGCCCTTCAAGGGGAGGGAGTAGATGACTAGGCTCATTGTACCACAGCTGGGGGGGGGGCGCGGGGACCCCCCCCCCCGCCGGGCATCACAGGTGATCTGAGACTGGCCTTCCCGGCGCTTTCAGAGCCTGGCAAGTGGCCAGGAGTCAGTTTGGAAATTTCTGCGGGGCTTTGCTGTGTGGCTTTGCTGTGTGGCTTTGGGGACAGGGTTTAGCTTCGTGGGGGCCTCACCAACTCAGCCACGGAGGATGCCACCTACAACTCCCACTGCCTCCCCACGCCCCATCCCTCCCCTCTGCCCCTGGGGTTGAATGAGAGCCTAGAAGAAGTTGGGACAGATCTGGACGAATATTGAGAACCCGCCAATCGCCCGGGAAAAGGAGCAAGTGTCTGGCTGCTTGCTGCCCTCTGGTGGTGACAGTGGATGACACTGGAAACCCCTGACTTTGTCAAGGTGACACTCTCCTCAGACCATCCCAGAACATCAGGGAGAAGCTGTTGCCCCCAAGACAGGGACTGGAATGTCCCAGGAACAGGACACAGGTCAGAGGGACAGGCTGGAGCCACCCCAGCCCTCCCCACCCCCTAACCACACGGGCACTGAGGCCTTTAGCCGGGGATCCGTGTGGGTCTCAGGCTTTGCCTTAAGAACTTTTAATCTAGGACTTGGGAAAGGCAGCTGAAGCTGAGTGGGGCGGGGGAGGGGGGAAGCAAAAAGGGAGGCGGTTAGAGGGAGGGATGAAGGAGAAGATGGGCGAGAGGGGAGAGAGGCATGGGGACGCTGGAATGGCGTGTTTTGGAGGATGAGAAGGCTGTCCCCAGGCCCTAACAGGAGGGAGTTCCGACTTTCCAGAATCCTGCCTGATAATCACGTGTCTGTCCCGGGGCCCAGGGCGTTTGAGGGGAAAGGTCAAGGGATGCCACTCCTGTGGTTAAAAGCAAGCAAAGCGGGGGCAGACAGACGCGCACAGGGCATGGGGAGAAGGCAGCGGGAAATACACAGGTACAGAGCAGCCACCCGCAGACCAACTTTCATCCCATGGAACGGGGTCTCTTTGTGTCACCCTTGTTTCTTTTCCTTTTCTTAAAAAAAAAAATTGGCAGAATATTCTACCAATTTTTAATCGGGTACAAAACGTAGTCATCAGAGCCAAACGATACAGTTCCGTTTTGTTCATCTATTTAGAGAAATCGGTTAAATATTTATTGTTTGCTGAATGGCCTTTGTTTTGCTTAGTCCCCAGAGCAGAAGAAGGCCAGGCATCCCGGGTGGGTTTCTTCCCCCAGAAACCGAGCAGGCCAGGGGGCCGCCCTACCCTTCCCCCACAGGAATCAGAGGCACCCAGGCCCTACTGGGATCTCATTCTCATGAAAGGTCACTCACCTCTGGCAGCTTTGTCCTAAGGGATCAAATCCTTTAGCAGGTCACCAAAAAGAGTCCCTCTGAGAAAAAGGGGCAGGGTCTTGGAGCTTCTCCAGATGGCTAGAGTAGAGAGGAGAGAGGGGGTCTCTTTAGGGTTGGGGGAGTCCATATTCTAGTCCCATCTCAAAGCGGTGCCCACCTACCTGATTCCATATCAGATCACCAGATTCCTTCTTGCTCCCTCCTGCCTCTTACAAAAGTGCTTTAAGATGACATTTGGGGGACCGGGGTGGGAGGGGCTCCTGGGGATGGGGCGGGGAGACAGGCCCCCCCTTTGGCATTGACCCCAAGTTTGAAATTCCCCTCTTAATGAGTGGGTGGAGCTCACAGGACAGGCTTTGGGGACAGTTTCCCCCAGGAAATGTGCAGGATTGGGATGGGGGTGGGGAGTGAGGACCCTGCAGATACCATAGTCACAAGCCCCTCCCGTCCCCTCCAAGACAAGTATCAATCTTGTATCAATCTTGCATCAATCACTAGGAATTGGATCTCACACCTACGCCGAAGTTTTCTCCCTTTCCCAGACAGCATTCCCCACTTCACCATGCTCTCTTCCTTCTCAGACCACCAGCAGCAAATAGGAAAAACCGAGGCCCAGAGAGGTCAAGCTAACATCCTGGAGGTCGCACAGCGTCAGAGTCGGGATTAGAACTTGGGAGTCGCCGGTGCCTCTCCGGACAGTTGAGACCAGAGGTCCCCTACCGCCCTGGAGACCCCCTTGAGCTGGGAGCTTACTGTTCTGACTAGCGGGGCATGATGACCTAGAGCCCCGGTGTCGGTGCGGAACCTGGGACCAGGAACCTCCTCTGGGCTCGCCCTGCCTGGATGGACAAGCTGGAAGGGGATCCTTAGTGGACAGGGAGGTGGCAGCTGCCGGCGGAGTGGGGGGAGAGATATTTTTAGAGGTGGCTGGAAAGCAGGCACTCTGGCACACCCCCAGCTGGCGGGTGCTTCGCTCCAATGCGGGGCGGGGGGTGCGCAGCTCGGGGAGCCCAGGGGGCTCGTGGGTGGCGGGCATCAAAGGAGGGGGCACAGATTCCTTCGCTTTGCCCAAGTCGGGGACAGAGGGATACCCGGGCACGACGTTCCTGGGATCGCAGAAAGAAGGAGGGAGGACTCATGTCTCCGCTCCGGGGACTCCCCCACTGACACGCGTGAAGGAGCGCCCTCAAACTCCACACAGCCCCCACCCCACTCTGGGACCCCAGCCGTTCCCTACCTCCGGGAGCGCAGGACTCACGTGGGGAGCGGCGGCGGCAGAGGTCTGTCCCGGCTTAGTTTGGAGTGTAGAGTTGGGGAGAGGGGCTAGCTGAGGTATTTGGGCGCAGGATGGGGTGCTTACGGGAATTGGAGGGGACGCGGTGTCTTATCCACCCCCGGATTTCTGGGCTCCGGCTCACGAGTCCCTCCGGTCCCGAGGGGCCGTGGATGATGTGCGTCTGGGCCGTCCCCTCCACCTGCCCCCCATCCCCCCGTCCCCCGGCGGCCGCCGCGTCCCCTTTAAATGCCCGGGAGCCGGAGCCGGAGCCGCGGCTGGCGCTGCGGCTGCCGCAGCACCCGGGCCCACCGCAGTCCCCGCACGTCACAAGCGACTGTCCAATCACGGCGGCGCCGGCGCACATCAAAGGGGCGGGCCGCCCGCGGGCCACGCCTCCCGGCTGCCCCGGAGGCTCCGCGAGCTGGAGCTAAGGTGGGATTGCGCGCCCCGGGAGAGAGCAGGGGCGGCGAGAGCGATCGCGTCGCTCCCGAGGAGCGCGGCTGGGGGACACCCTCGCTGGGGCGGCTGTGGGGCTCCCCGTGGATTCCCCGTCCCTTCACCCGGCAGCGTCAGGGCTGTGCCTCCAGGGCGCTGAGCCCTGAGTTTGCAGAAACGCACCCCTGCCCCCCAGCCTCCTTTCCCTTCTCTCCTGAGCCCGGCCCGAGGTCGCGGCTGACCCAGCCCCGTGCGCCTGGTTCTGTTCCCCGCGCGGAGCCTCAGCACCTCGCCTCCCGGGACCCTTCCCCCGTTACAGGTTGCAGGGATTGCCAGGAAACTCGCCCACTCCTCTAACCCCTAAACCCTGATTTAGGGACCCGACTGTTTGCTCTTTGCAAGTGGTGTTGTAAATTCAAAGAACCCACTTGCTCTTGTGCTTCCTAGGAGTCCGTGTCTAGCCACACCCCCCTGCTCCCCTCCCCGCGTCTGCCCTGCAGCCGTCTGGTGGAGGAGAAGATTCTGTTTTGAGAGCAGAGAGCCCAAACTTCTATATCCTGAGAACGTACTATGAACCAGACGCTGTACTAGGTCGCTGCCCTTACGGTTGAATATTCACAACAGGAGAAATTATTTGCCCGAGTTCAAACCTAGGCACACCTGGCTCATGGGGTCACAAAGGAGCTGTCTGGCCTGGGTCTAAATCTCCCCCTGCTTCACTCCTCCAAGGAAGCCAGCAGATGCAAAGGCCCTGTGCGATCTGGCATCTGGTGGCGCCGGAAACCAGAGAGGGGATGAGGGTCAGCAAGGAATTACCCTGTGTCAGGGGCTGGGGGGACATGAAAGAACAGGACATGTGTGTGCCATGTTTCCGCATATACAAAGGAGAAGCAATGCTTTACAGAGGCTCAAAACCCTTGACAGTACCTTCTAGTCCCAACTCCATCCCTGGCTTGCTGCTCACGCCCCTGTCCTCGCTGTCCGCCCTCTCTTCCTGCTCTCCTGCACCCCTGATCTTTCCTGGGGACCTCTCTCCTCAAGAACGCACCCACCCCATTTGCTGGAAAAGCCCAGCCTCTGTTACATACCCTGAAGCTCCTTTTTTTTTTTTTTTAAATGTTGTTTACTTTTGAGAGAGAGAGACAGAGAGAGAGAGAGTGCATGGGGGGAGGGGCAGAGAGAGAGGGAGACAGGATGGGAAGCAGGCTCTGTGCTGATAGCAGCCAGCCTGATGCAGGGCTCGAACTCAGGAACATTACCCCCCACCATCCCTCTCATTCAGTGTCTGTCTGCCACACCTTATGGGTTGGAAGCAACGCAAGGACAGAGACCACATTTGTCTCTCTGTCTCTTTTTAAAATGTTTACTTATTTTTGAGAGACAGAGTGCAAGCAGAGGAGGGACAGAGAGAGGGGGAGACACAGAATCTGAAGCAGGTTCCATCCAGGCTCTGAGCTGTCAGCACAGAGCCCGATGTGGGGCTCGAACGAGATCGTGACCTGAGTCACAGACCTGAGTCGAAGTCAGACTCTCAACCAACTGAGCCACCCAGGCGCCCCCCACATTTGTCTTATTATTGTCCCTTAGCCTCCAGCATAGAGACTGGGACACACAGGAGGCCTCGGATGTTTGCTGTTGAATGAAACAAGCCCCCACTATGTTCGGCTCTACCTAGAGCTTCCTTTGTGTCTCCTCATTTAATCTTATCGCTAACAAGTCACTCTAGTATTACCCCCATTTTACCACAGGGAAATTGAGACTCAGAAAGGTCACATGAACTGCCCCAGGGTCACATGCCCCAAGGAGGTCCTAGATTCAAATACCAATCCTGAAGTAATTAACAGCCCTTTCACTGGGGCGGGTGGGTAACTTCTCTGCTGCAACCAAAGAAGCAAGTTCTTATACTGCCCGCCTCTGCCTTCTAGCCACAGGAACACCAAAGCTCACAGGAGCTATGTGCAAGGCGTCTTTGTGGAATAATCTAGAAACTCCCAGTTTCCCCCTACACTAAACTTTTCAGGACACGATCCCGCCTCTCTTCGACTTTCCCCTCTCCTTGTGCCAATGAATAGGGCTGGGCCGTTGGACAAGTCTCCTTCCGTGGGATTCACCTTAGACCTCGCTGGTGGGTCAAATCTGGCAGAGAGCTTGTGGGGACAGGGGTCTGGTGAACCGTGATTCAGGTGCCCAGGCCTGGGGCTCTCCACGTGGCCTTCACAAAGAGGGTGTGGCTCTTCTTCTTTTTCTTATTCAAACTCTTGTGTCTGACTTTCAGTAGATCTCTTCCAAGGAGCTTGAAGAGGGTGTGACTCCAGCCTCAGGTTTTGGTGTCAGAGAAGCCAGGAATCCAGGGCCAAGGAGGGACTCCAGCCTGGTGGGGGGAGGGGCGAGGGTTAGAGGGAGGGGCAGATCCCATGGTTCGTTCCTACACCCCACCTGGGGGAAGGAAGATTTTGCGCCAGGGCTCATAATTCCCATGACAGCCCTGGCAGATGGGTTTAAATAGTCTGTTTTATAAGCGAGAAAGCAGAAGCTTGGGGACATTAGGAAAGAGTCTTGCCCAAAGGACGCTGGATGTTCGGGTCTCCACAGCTCCGTAGAAGGCAGAGGGCCCTGGGTGACCTGGCAGCCGACACGGGTGGGGACACGGGTGGGCCACGAGGAGTGCCCCGTTCGGACAGTTCCGCAAGTTCTGTGGAGGGTGTTGTGGGTCTAAGGCGTTGCTGGGGCTTCGGGACCAGCACTGAATAAATAAATCCCCTTCCGGGTCTCTGGTCTCCTTCCTGGCCAACAATCACTACCGTTCTCCGGTGCCGAGCAGCGTTCTGAAAGGCTTCAGCTCTCTTCGTGATCACAGTAGACCTCTGAGTTCCTCCATTTTACAGATGAGAAAAATGGGGCCCCAAGTGGTATGTAACTTGCCTCAAGCCGCAGAGCTAGGTAGTGGCAGAAGCAGGATTTGAACTCAGGCAGTCAGCTGCGGGTTCCATTCTTCTTTTTTGTAAGTTTGTTTGTTTGTTTGTTTGTTTATTCGGAGAGCGGAGGGCAAGGGCAGAAAGAGAGAGAGAGCGCGCAGACCCTGACGCGGGGCTCCATCTCACCTGAGCCGCAACCAAGAGCAGTGAGATCGTGCCCTGAGCCGCAACCAAGAGGCCAACTCAACCCTCAGAGCTACCCAGGCACCCCACAGGGTTCCGCTGCCCACCCGAAACCTCGCATGGCCTGCCTCAACAGTTTCTGAATTTTGCGTTGCCCTTTTATGAATGGGAAGCCTCTGCCTCACCCCTGCCCCCCGGTGCTTGGAAGGATCTGGCAATAACACAGATCAAGGTTCAGATCTTCAGAGGTTGAGGTCTGTCGTCAGTAGCTGTGGATGCTGTCCTGATTTCCAGGTCATCACTACAATACAGTATTGGTGCTTTTTTTTGAGAGAGAGAGAGAGAGAGCGAGAGAGAGAGAGAGAGCATGTGTGCACATGCTCGAGTGTCGGGGAGAGGCAGAGAGAATCCTGAGCAGGCTCCACATCCAGCTCGGAGCCGACCGTGGGGCTCAATCTCACGACTGGCCATGAGATACGACCTGAACCGAAATTGAGTCCAAGGCTCAACCGATAGAGCCACCCAGGCGCTCCCCATTTGTGCTTTCACTCATTCCACGACTCTTCACTGTATCAGGCCCTGGGAGATAAGACACTGAAGAACGTAGACCCTGCCCTCAAGGAGCTTACAGTCTAGACTGGAGATGAGACCAGCAAACAGGCCTTCGCAAAAGAGTGAGAATTGCTCTACCTGTGGCCGCCAGGGCAATGCTGTCGTGGACTTCCGCGGGGAAAGCAGCTGCGACCCGAGGTGCTTCCGGGAGGAGGAGGAGACTCGTGATCAGGGCTCAGTTTCCCCCAGGGGCGCCCCATTCTGCCCACTCACCTTGCCTGTCCCTCCCCAACTCCTGCCTTTGCTGCTGCTGGCTTCCCCTTCCCCCCAAGCAGGCTAGAGACGCTCCAGAGAAACCTCCCCACTCCAGAACAGGCTCACCCCGACAGGACTGTCCGCTGTCCCCCCTCAGTGAGCAGCAAGAATGGGGCATCATGAGACAGAGGGAACGGGACAGAGCCGGGAACATGCAAACACTGATTCTGCTCCCTGGTGGGCACCCACAGCAGGTACAGTGAGAGAGTAACCCCCAGGGTCCCCTCTAGGCCAGGAAGTCCTTGCAGTCTGACTCAAATCCCACTTGCTAGGGCATTTCCTCTCATTTGGCTTCCAAGACGCCCTCCCTCAGGGTAACAGCCGTCAGAGACTTGAAATAAAATATGCCTCCATTTTTGCAAATGTCACATTATAGAGAACTAAGGCGATTTCGTCTCTGCCTGCCTCATGTCCCTGGTCACTCGCAGCCCTCTCCCCCTCACTGTGTGTGATAACCTTCTTTTGGACTTTCAAACGTGCTGCCACAGGCCCTTTGCACTTAACTGTAGCCCCTTTCCAGAGTACTTCCTACCCACTCCATGACCTCCCCCTGAGATCAGGGCTCAGTTCATCCGTCCCTTCTAAAAGGAAACGGTCCTGCCCAGACACCCTCCCTCTCCCCCGGAGATAAGGACCTCTTGTTACACACCTCCGCAGCACCCTGGGCTTCTCCTGGCTGGTTCATTCATATGTGCTTCTGTCAGACTGTCAGCTCCGCGAGGACAGGGACCATAACGGGTTTGCTCCCATGGTGTTCAGGTGCTGGGGAGCACCTAGCGCTGGCCTTGATCTGAAGTAGCTGCTCAAGAAATATTTGTTGCCTGATCGATTGCAGGATTCCCGATGGAGGCTACTTGTGCGGGGTGTGGCCTTAGGCCCGGAATGACCTAGAAGCTAGCTTCCAGGCTTAACCTGGGATGTCTGGCTGGGAGGGGTGGTGGGGACGGGGCAGGGGACATGCTAACAAAAGGAAGGACCCGCGCCAAGGGCTCCGGGGAGGAAGCCTCCCATCCTCGAGGCAGGTGTAGGTCTGTGCTGATTGGAGCTGGAGAAGAAGAATCCTCTAGAATAAGGTCCAACCCTAACCAAACGACAGCCCCTGGTTTTACCAGTAACCTTTGTAATTGACAAACCCCTCCCTGTAATTCACATTATTTTCCCGATGAAGAAAATGGGTCTGGGAGAGGTTGGGGGAAGCCAAGGTCTTTGGAGGCCAGTTTCTCTGAGGCATTTGTACAAGGCGAGAGGGTGCATTGCCAACGAGCAAAGATTCCAAGATTCTGGCCTTTGGGCCATTATTTGACTCTCTCTGTTTTTTGGATTTTGGGTTTTTTTTTTCATTCATTCATGCACGCGTGCATCCATCCGTCTGTTCAGGAGACGCACGCTTTAGTCGACCGTGGCCTTCAAGAAGGCCGGTGCTGGCTTTGCGAATCTGGGAATGGCCTGAGCTTATTCGAGGTAAGTTTTCGTATCTACGTGCACATGTCCATTTTCCACGTAAACTTTCAAAAGGTTTCCGCGACGCCAGCTCTCCTTCCCTCCCCTGTCCGCAAAACATCTCAGAGCCACTGGTATAACACACGCTAACTCACAGCCACCCATGCGTGCTCATCAGTCTGTCCTGACTGTTTGGGTGACTAAGGCCTCGACACATGACCGCGTCTGGCCCGAGTGATAAACCTGCTTTCTGGACCACATGACTCATTGTGCAAGGCGCTGCCGACCTGGGACAGCTGCTCTCAGCCAGAGCTCTGGGAAGAGAACCGGATAGAAACACACACACACACACACACACACATACGCACACACACACACACACATACACACGCACCACCCCCAGCTCTAAAGCTGCTCCTACTCCAGGCAGATACTTTGGTTTCTGCTCCAGTTAGTGACACACAGCACTGCCCACCATGGTGACATTTGCGGAGGGCTCGAATGTGTCAGACGCAGGGATGCCTACCGCCTCATCTTCTTAAATCCCCACAGCGGGGCCTCTGTGTTTAGGAACCTGCCCAAGGTCACGCGTCTGGGAAGGGGTGGAGGTGGAGGGGGGCGCTGAGCAAGGCCGAATGTGTTTGTGATCCTTCAGAGACGGGGCAGCGGTCGAGGCTGGTATGAAGCCCTAGATGTATTCCGCTGGAATCATCCCCCACCCTCCTTCCTTCCTTCTACGATTTCTTGAGCATCTTCTATGTACTGGGGATGCGTTGGGGGTTGGGGACCAGCCTCCGAGATGGCTCCGGCGATGCCCACGTCCCCGCACCCTGCCGTGGGGCGCCTCCCGCCCCCTACCAGAGCCGGTCTGAGTGACCAGCGGCGCCGGGCAGAAGCGAAGGCACGGCTACCAGCATGGGTATGACAGTCTGCCCCTCATCTGTGGCGCTCTCTCACTCTCTTGTTCTCCCCTCTTTCTGGATCACTCACTCAGTTGCCAGGCTTCTCCGCACGGGAGGCTCCCAAGGCAAGGAACGGAAGCCTCGGGTCAACAGCTGGGGCAGACCCATCGACAACCGCAGGAGTGAGTTTGGACGCAGCCCCTGCGGCCCCAGTCAGGCTGTGAGCTGATCGCCATCTTGTTAGGGCCCTGGGCTCACAGACACTGCGGAGGAGTAGATGCGAGTTTTAAGCTGCTGAATTTTTAGGGTGATCTGTTAGTCAGCAAGAGAGGACCAGAGATACATCTGTAAACACAATTGCTATGGTTTTCACATTCTATTAAAGGAGGCAGACAGTGGAAGGAAGGAAGGAAGGGAGTGGGGGGAGAGAGGGAGAACCCAGTATGTCAGATAGCAGGAAGTGCAATGGAGTAACATAAAGCAGGGAAATGGGGGTGGGGGTGGGGAGCTTGGATTTAAATAGGGTGGCTAGAAAAGTCTGACTGAGAAGGGGGCAGTTCAGCAAAGACCCGAGGGAGTGAGCCCTATAGAAATTGGAGGGGAAAGAGCATCCGGCAGCAAGAAGAGCATGTGCAAAGGGCCTGAGGCGGGAGCACGTCCGGATCATGTGACCCACCCAGAGCACACACTTTGTATCACTTGCCACTGGACTGATTGTCCTCACCAGGCCTGTCTTGGTCCATCTCATCCTGTGCCCTCCGGGAGGCGGGAGGGAGTGTGCTGAGCCCCCACTGCTCTCATCTTCTCTCCCTTGAACTTGGCTCCGTGGCTGTGTTCCTGGGAGCAGGCCTCGTGTTCTCAGGGCGTGGAAGTAGCTGCACCGCACTGACAGATCTTCCCAGCCTTCAATCAAGGGCAGATTGACCTGGGGCAAACCCAAGGGAGACCACAGGACGAGAGAAATGACGGAGGAAATGCAAGCTGGACACATAGATACTCCCACGTCGGAGGCCCTCTGATAATTTATGGGGACAACTGGCAGGATAATCCAACGCCAACCCTGTTGTCGTAGGTTATTCTCTGCCATTTTCCTTTTTTGAAGCAAACAAAATACAAAGCGGGTCCCCGTGTCATAGCAGAAAGTGCCCCAAACGGCCCATCTGATATGCATACTCGGCCCATCTGATATGCATGCTCGCTTTCCTTCTCAGTAACAGATTTGTTGATGGTAAGTAGCCCATGGCCTGAGGCACTTTCTGTGCCCTCCTCCCTCTCAACCCGGGGATGCCAGCCGAGTCCTATACAGCGTCCTCAGGGCCCCTCAGGGCTTCCCACAAGCGGGCCCGTGGCCATTGCAACCATATTTTCCAAATCAGGATGGACAGATCAGTGCAGCGAGCCTGAAGTTGTACACAGAGGGTAAAGGGACAGAACCGGAAGATGGGGTTTTCTGGGAGAATCGAGAGCAATCTGTCTCCGAGAGACCCACTCATCCCCACGGGGAGGTTGGGAAGGGAGGGGGCCGAGTTGTTGTTCTTTTACTCACGCATGCATTCTTTCACCACATTTTTCATGAACCAGGACCGGGCTTGGCGCTTGAGAAACAACATAAGCAACACAGAGTTCCTGCCCTGGGAGTGTTTCCAGTCTGCTGGGGAGACAGACAGGTGCATCCGCAGGGGCCTAGCGATTCTGGTGAACATGGGAGGGACACCCAGCCCAGTTCAAGGGGGGGGACCAGAGAGGAGTGTCTGTGTGTGGCGATGTCGGGGGAAGATCCCATGAGAAGTGACTCTACGTCAAGGCCCGCAGGATGAAGAGGCATTAGATAAAGAGGAAAACGGTGGCCAGGCAGGGGGGAGAGCCTGTGCAAAGGTCCTGAGGTCAGAGAAGTGGTAGAAAGGGCAGAAGGTGGAGGGCCTTGGGAGCTTCTTCCCTAAGGGCCACAGGGGAACCACTGACGGTTTGGAGCTAGGGGCTGACACAGTCACCTCTGTGTTTTAGAAAAATCGCTTCTGTTGCTGTCACTGACGGCCCCTCCTTTTCGTGGCCCTGTGGCTGAGCAGGGGCCTCTGGGGAGACCACAGCCCAGGCCAGCCCAGTTCTCAGAGCGTCGGGAGGATGATGGCCGGCTCTCCTCTCTGCTGCACCCCTACCGCACCACGGGAGACTTCAGGGTCAGGTTCTGGGATCTGCTATATCGGGCTCTCGTGGGTGAGGGCTCCATCCCGCCCGCGTCTGTCCACATCGGGCCGGCTTCCCCCCGGGATTGAGGGGTTATTTGTATCTTCAGGGTGGCAGCACCTCCTCCCCAGAGCCAAGGAACCCAAGATAACAGGGCAGCCTGGGAGCTGTTTATGAAAAGGCAGTGCCGTGGGGGGTGGGCATGGCCCGCGGGACGGTGGCTGCGGCCACAGATAGCAATTGGGGCGGGGAAGGCCTTCTAAATTACAGCTCCCAGAATAGAGGGGCCGGGAGGGAGGGGCGGGGCTCCCACCAAGGGAGCTGGCGGCCTGCCACGCGAGTCTAGGCTCCAGGCCCTGCCACAGGCAGAGGTGGGGTGGCCACAGGCAGAGGTGGGGTGGCCACAGGCCGTGAGGTGAGGTGGAGCCGGGCGGCGGTGGCAGGGAGGTTGGGAGAGAACCAGCCTGGGGTGACCTTCTGGAACGGGTGAGGGTGGTGAGGGGAGGGCAAGGCCGGGCTGGGGGGGGGGGGGGGGAGGTGGCTTCTTGCCTGCCCCTGGAAGAGACTCCCGGTCACATCCCTCCTAGGTGTCACCTGAGTGTGAGCTACGACGAAAGTAACAAGAATGGCAGGCAGCTACGGGGCAGGCACGGCTCTAAGCAGTAACGTCCATCAGTTCACCCTCCCGGCTCCCCGTGACGTAGGTATTCGTGGCCCCATTTTATAGATGAGGACACTGAGGCCCATTGAGGTCAAGTACGCGCCAGGTGGAGCGAGGGGGGAGTGGAAAACGAAGGTGCAAGCCCAGGGGTGTCTGACTTCAGAGCCCCGGCTTCAGAGTCAGGGACCCTGTTCGCGAAACCTTCGCCTCTCGGGGTCGGTTTTTCTCATCCAGCACGTGGCTCACAGCCTGGAGCCCAGCCTCCCAGAGCTGTAGGGTCACATGGGGAAGGCGTGGTGTGCTGGGAAGACCCTCAAGGCGGAAGGCTTGGCTGAACTCTGTGCCAGACCCACTGTAGGCCTCTGTTTTCTCATCTGTCAAATGGGGAGGTAACTCAGAGGGTCTTCTGAGATTCTAATGAGAATATATATGTGTGAAAGTGTTCGTATCTTTTTTTCTTTTTTCTTTTTTTGCTTATTTATTTTTGAGAGAGAGAGACGCCCAGAGTGTGAGCGAGGGAGGGGCAGAGAGAGAGGGAGACACAGAATCCAAAACAGGCTCCAGGCTCTGAGCTGGCTGTCAGCACAGAGCCCGACGCGGGGCTGGAACCCACGAACTGTGAGATCACAACCTGAGCCGAAGTCGGCCGCTCAACTGACTGAGCCACCCAGGCGCCCCTGAAAGTGTTCATATCTCTGAAGGCAGATTGTAAATTAGAAAGTGCCACATTTCGAGTGATTATTATGTGAAAGCTGAATGCTTACAAAGTCAACGACTGCCGCCTCACTGGGGAGCTCACATACACAACATTCCCAAGGTACATCCTCCTTTAAAATGAGGGCGGGGTGCCAGGGTGGCTCAGTCAGTTAAGCGTCCGACTCCGGCTCAGGTCATGATCTTGAGGTTCGTGAGTTTGAGCCCCGCGTCGGGCTCTGTGCTGATGGCTCAGAGCCTGCAGCCTGTTTCGGATTCTGTGTCTCCTCTCTCTGCCCCCCCCCGCCCCCCGCTTGTGCTCTGTCTCTCACGGTCTCTCAAAAATAAATAAATGTTAAAAATTTATAATTTAAAAAAAATGAGGAATCATCCCTTCGTTTATACTTGGTAGATATTCGGTTTTCCTCTAAGTTGTGGTTTAAAGCAAGACACATCTACATTCTTTGTGTGTGTGTGTGAGGGTTTGCTGCCTTGAAACGATTTCTTCAACTGCTGTGCCTAAGGTGCTGATTTTCAGCTGAGACTGAGGGCCACCCCCCCCCCCCAAGTTCCCGGCACCAGCTGTTTCCTCGGCTGGGCGGGGGGGTGTCTCTGTATAGAGACATAAGTTTGGAGCAGATGCCCCTTGTTCCCAGGCTACTGCTGGCTTTCCGAGCCCCCTGCCTTTCTAGGTGTGTTACTTAATGTTGCATAAGATCCTCTGGTCTGCCCCGGGGGGAATGCCGCACCAGACCTCGGACAGACACTTGAACTTGCTGATTCATCAGGGGAGCCAAGGGCAGGGTAAGGGCACGGAGTCCCGGGACGGGAGGGGACACCTGTCAGGCTGCCTCACTCCCCTCATGACTCACTGCCTCCTCTCTCTCTCTCTCGGTTCCTGGCTCGGTGTCTGTGGTGCCCGAGCAGCGTGCAGGGACGCAGGGAATGGCGCCTTGCACTTGCTCATCCCCAGCCTTCTGGTGCTCCCTTTCCAAGGCTGGTCTTCCCCTCCCCCCTAGAAGCCTCATCATCCACCTCGAGGAGGTGGTTCAACCTGGCACCTGCTCCTCCTGGTGCGATGTATAACCGAGCTGGTTACAACTGCTGGCGCCATGGTGAAATCGCTCCTGGGAGTAGCTGGCTCCTACCGCTGTCCACGAAATCAAAGCTCTTGGCCAATGTGAGCACTCTCTCTCTTTGTCCTAGGGAGGATTCTATGGAGATTCATTAAGACAGATCACTCCTGCACTCCTTCATTCAACACATGCTTATTGTATACCTACTCTGCATCTGGTACTATTGTAGGAAGGGTCATGGCCGATTCTGCCCTGCGGAGTTCGCATCTAATAGGCGAGGCGGCCAACAAGTATACACATCGAATGCCAGATGGTGATATGCATTATGGGCAGCTTAGAGCAGGGAAGGGTCCTGAGAGGGAGGGAGGGGTGATACTTCATCAAGGGCAGTGGGAAGCCTTCCTGATGAGCTGTGAGGCCCAGGGAGGGATTCAGCTGGGTGGCTGTCTGGAGAAAGACCCTTCCAGTGTGTGCTTGGAGTTGAGTGAGGCCGGGAGCCGCTGGAAGGACGGAGGTAAGTTTTCTCTTGGGAGAAGCAGGTTTGAAAGATGGACGTTTGTGCCGTGAAGATTTTCCTAAACTCGAACTCAAGTCCCTCCAGCCAGTTCGTTTAATAAAGCTGGGTGAAGCATTCAGGTCCCGATCTACTGCTTCTAAGACTCTGACCTCGTCTCCAGTCTCCAGGGAGAGTGGCCGAGGTTCCCCTGAAAGGCAGTGTCTCCTGAATTTCCTTCCCTGCTCTGCTCTTCCGTCTCCCCATCCCCCCCTTTTCTGCTCTCCGGCATCCAAGGATGACCTATCTGCCTGTCCACCTGCCTTTACCCCTCAAGGGGCACATACCGGCCTTATGTCTTTATCACTTCTACTGTATCTTCTCTCTCCAGCGATAGATACCAAGAGCACAGGTGGGTGTGACTAGTTTTAACCCGCTTGGAGTTTATTGCATGGGGCGCCTCAGAGGTCTCCATAAACATGCTTAAATTGACTAGGATGTGGGTGCTCAAAGGGGATGCGAGGGTTCCGAGCAGGTTTCTGTGCACACAAGCCCTCCATAGACTTGACGGATGCGAGGAGGGCTGGAGTTCACCAGGCACTAGGGGTATGCAGGGATCACATTAGGAGAGTTGAGCCGGGCCTCCTTCTTCCACCTTGAACTTGACCATCTGAACGCTACATTTCTGTCGCCTCTAGGATGTCCCCCGCCAAGATGAGGCTGTGGTCTTTCAACTCCTGGGTTTTGAGGAGGGGCCACTGGGGCTGCCATAAGGCAGTGGGCGGGGGGAGCTCAGTAAATTCCCTCTGCCCCCCTCCCACGCTGCAGGGGGAGGAGCTTTGCTTTTATTTATTTTACATGTGTGTTTCCAGGGATGATTTCATTTCAAAAGAGGATTTTCTTCTTTTTTTTTTTTAATGTTTTATTTATTTCTGAGAGAGAAGGAGACAGCATGAGCAGGAGATGGTCAGAGAGAGAGGGAGATACAGAATCTGAAACAGGCTCCAGGCTCTGAGCTAGCTGTCAGCACAGAGCCCAACGCGGGGCTCGAACCCACGAACCGTGAGATCATGACCTGAGCCCAAGTTGGATGCTTAACAGACTGAGCCACCCAGGCGCCCCAAAAGAGGATTTCCTTCTAAGGACAAACACACACACACACACACACACACACACACACACACACACTCTGCAAGACATCAATGTGGCTGAAAGTGATGGAGATCTTGGCTTTAGATCTGGCGTTCTTTGAGCAGGTCTGGCCTCAGCCTCCTCGTCTAGAAATAGGAGGAACATATGGAAACATCTCTGCAACCACAAGATGGTAGCTTGTCACAGTCTTCAAAGCAGTATTTTCTGACTTCAATGTTTGGACCTGGGGAGCCGACACGCTGGTGATCTGGGGACTCAGCACGTCTTGACAAACATTCCTTTTCAAAAAAATTCCCCAAAGAGAATGAAGCGAGGAAGGGCAGTTACCTCTCGGGAGGGGGGTGGAAGCCTAGAAGGCAGTAGAGGCGCGAAGACTTAGCCCTCACTGTGTTCTCTTTCGCACCTTGTGAACTTCGTAGCACACGCGTGTGAATTGGACCACACACCTGCGCACATAAACGTAAGTTTGTTTGAAAACAACATTTTAAACATTTAAAGCACTATTCAAGTACAAGGTAAAAAACCAAAAGACAAAACCCCACACCCCAAATATAACCCTTGCGTTGTTTCCATGGCAGATTGAAGCTGGACCACAGGGAACGCCAGCAAACTTGTTCCTGAGGCCTTTGGGATGACAGAGGGACCCGGAGACCTTGAGAGAAGGGGACGGGGGAGTTGCCCAACCAACCTCTCCCTCAGGGGTGGCACCCAGAGCCAGCGTCCGGAACTGGGCGTGTTTCCCTTGAGGGAGCCGCGAAAGAAGGCAGGGGTGTGAAAACAACAGTTAGGGGCGCTTGGGTGGCTCTGCCAGTTAACGTGGCCGACTCTTGATTTCGGCTCAGGTCACGATCTCATGGTTGTGAGATCCAGCCCCGCATCGGGCTCAGCGCTGGGCATGGAGCCTGCTTGGGATTCTCTCTCTGCCCCTCCTCCACTTGCGCACGCTCTCTCTCTCTCTCTCTCTCAAAATAAATAAGCTTTGTAAAACAACAACAAAACAAACAAATACACCTGGAGGGGAGGCACTCCCTCCCTGCCTGAGGTCCTGACAGGCGTCTGTATAGTTATAAAAGCTGCCTTCAGGTGTCCTGATAATCCTAATCCGGGGACAGGGCGGTTCCCTAGCCCCAGTGTCAATTCCTCCCAGGCAAAGACGGTGCCTCGTTCATCTTCTCTTCCCGCTGGGCTTCCCACAATCCTGTGAGGCAGGCATCGTCCTTACTTTCACCTCCCAAAAGAAGAAATGGTCTTGCGTCTACCATCTGGCATTTTTGGGGTGTATTCTTGGCTCAGTCCCTTCACTCTTTTGGTGTTCGTCATCTGTAAAATGGGAGTCATTGTTTCTGATTTATCTGCAGGCCAGGGAGCACCTAAGAATGCTGGAACTCAAAGAGGCGATATGGTCCAAAGCAGTAAGGGAGGGGAAGGGATCGAATTCAAGCCAGTTTCCCAACTGAAATATTTCTGCCTCCGCATCAGCCTCGGGAGGTGGCCGAGGTGCTCCTGATCACATGGGTGATGTGAGATTTCTAGAAAGGGCGGGCAAGCCCACCTGTTTTCTCTCCTTGCTTTGGTCATCATTAGGAATTTGTTAGGACAGAGGGAGACGTAAAGGCAGACCTTTATACTTGAATCGCCTTTGTGGACTATGCTCACGTACACAGGCGCTGGGCGGGCAAGGATAATTAAGATACAGAGAAAAGGAAGAAAGTTTCCTTCCTTAGGGCAGGCTGGTGCCTGCAGAGAGCATACCCTGGAATATTAGGGCTGGAAGCCTTCTTAGGGGTTAACACAGTCTCATACAGATCAGAAAACCAAGGCCCAAAATGGGGATGGGGCTTGCCCAGGTTAGAGTGGTCTTGAATCGGATTGATTAAGGAGAAAATAGGCATGTTGGGTCTTAGCCTCCAATCCTGATGGACCAAAGCAGCTGAAAGGTGGAGCCTGGAAGACAGATAGAAGCGGGAGGGTGGCGTCATCCTACAAAAGGAAGGCGGGGAGCCCGAAACAGGATCCAGGACCTTAGTCCTCCCTCCCTAAGGACTTGGAAATCCTTGCCGCCTGCCATTTCCTCGC